GAGTCCCTGGATTGGTTGCTACTCCAAAATCAGATGAAGCTGACTCTCTGTGAGCCCCCGGACTGACGTCACTGATTGCATCCGAAGAGCCCCGCGTGACATACTAACACGTTACAGCTCAGGGCAGCACACGGTGGAGTATCGTGATTCTCTGTTTACAGAGAGGTGAGGAGGCTGGGTGCATCGATGGCTATTAGCCAGGATGGGTGGGAATGGTGTCCCTAGCCCGTCTGTATCTGGATCTCGGTGGCAAGGGAGGGATCAGGTGAGGATTCCCTGTTCTGTTCCCTCCCTCTGGGGCATCTGGCACTGGCCACTGTGGGCAGACAGGACACGGGGCTGGATGGACCGTTGGTCTGACCCCGTCTGGCCGCTCTGATGTTCTTACATGAGGATTACTAAGGGAGCTGAGGAGTGAGGTGCGGAAACTGAGGCAGCGAGGAGGGAAGTGACTCACCCGGGACCACACAGTGAGAATTAAGTGGCGGAGCCTGGAACTGAGCTCCTGACTCGCAGCGCTGCGCCGCGCCGTAACCACAAAGCCCTCCTAGATCCCTGGTGATGAATGATCCCTCCACTGCTGCCGGAGATACTGGGGAGCGAAAACCTGGCAACCGGCACCGCACTGCGCCCTTATGCATGTCAAGGCAGCCCCACGCGGCGTCTCATCACAGTAACCTCAGCTCCTCCCACTGCAGGGTAACGACGGAGCACGGCGCAGGGAGAAGCAGGGCAGCCGAATGCTGCAGGCACAAGGCTGCGGGATGCAGCCCATCACTTCAATCACTAGGGTGACCCTGATTTTTAAAAAGCCTCCAGCGGCAGTCCTGGCTAGGAGAGGCTGGCAGGGCCGCGTAGGGCACCATGAAACATAGGGCACCAAACTGCCCCAAATGTCACGGTGCCCTGTCCAGCCATATGCTGCTTACGGGCTCTGGCTGTACCCAGCCCCCTGTCCACTCCCCACCACTCAGCATTGCTCCAGTCATCCCTGCCCCACCCCTCCCGCTCAGCACCCATCTGGCATCCCTCCCTTGTTTTTTTGCAGTGGCTCCTGCACATTTCAAAGGGAGAGAGGCAGCGGGAACCATGCCCTGAAGCTGTCCCCGCTGGCACGGGTTCCCCTCTGTGCCCCAGGCGGTTCTTGTATGTTTCAAAGGGAGAGGTGCAGCAGTCGGACCGGCACAAACGAGCTTGTTTCAATCTCCGCTCACACCATTTTACGCTGCTTTCAGCCTCCTCTGCCCCCTCCCCAAGACAGTGCTGGGGGGGAACTGGCTTTTAAGCCTTCTCCCCCCAGCTCTGGCTCCTGCTTCCCCCACTTGCTGCCACTCTCTAAGAGAAGCAGTAGGAGGAGGGGGAAGCGACTAGTCAAGTTCCTACTTCACTAGTCACTTACACCCCTACTCTAGAGCCACTCACAAGCAAAGTTGTAAGAATTTGTGAACAGGGCAAAACTAGGCAGCTTCTCCAACCGTTGTTCTTGGAGATGGCTGAACCGTTTTGTCAGAAAAAAATTAAAACCAGTCTTAGGCAGACACCCAGCATGGAAAATGTCAGCTCAAACAATTAACCTTTAGCAAAGTTATAAACAACTGAAACAGCCTCTTATAATAGGATGTGTTAGGCAAACTTAAGTATAATGTGGTCAGCTCCACGTGCGATCCTCATGTAATAAAGGACGTATGCCATTGCCAGGATTCCTTTTGTTCCGAATATATATTAAAAAATCCTTCTTGGTGTCATTAATCCTACCACCAGTTGTGTTTTCATTGATGCCTTTAGCTTCCCTTATCAATTGTCTGACCTTCATAACTCCGTCGACGGAGCCATGTAGTTTAGACGTACCCTGAGGGACAAATCAGAGGTATAAGTTCCCACGTGTTGCATGGCCTTTACGCTGCCTCCTGAGCAGTGTGAAGGGCGACGTAGCTAGGAGCCAGGTTGGCCTGCTCTCAAGGGGTGCCTGGTTCAGGGCAGCACGTTCAGGAGAGATAGTCTGGGCCTGGACTTCCTGCTCTTCAGGAAATTCGGACACCATGGAGGGAAAATGGTTCCGAATGAAAATCCAAAACTAAAACACATGCTGAACATTATTGTCAGTGCTATTTATTAGGGCTATGTCTACACTACGAACTTTTTGCGGAAAAGGCAATGCAAATGAAGTGCTCGTTAGCAACGTTGCGCGCTTCATTTGCACGGTCTCTTCTGATCCTTTTTGCGCAAGAGGTTTTTGCGCAAAATCAAGCAGTGCGGATGTGTCCGTGTTGCGCAACAACCTCTTTGGGGCTCCTCCTTGGGGATCTTGCACAAAAAGGGGTTTTTTTTGCGCAAAACGGAAATGTCTTAAAACGTCTTGTGCAAAAAGGATCGGATGAGGCCATGCAAATGAAGAGACCGTG